TGTAATTTGGGCTTTGCGCGCACTGCGACCGATATTAGGTGGTCTGATGGGCTGCCTGTAACCCTAGGCAAGAGAGAGGGAGGCCTATTTATTGTAGGGGCTTTCTTTGATCGAGTGTGTTGCATGTTGTTTGTTGACCTCTTTCTTCTCCTCCCACTCGGGTCACAACGAGGATTTAAGTGACAAAAGGAGAAAGAAATGATGGGGTTTCAGTGGTGTGTGTAGGACTCGATGTGTATTTACGTGCTCTCTGCTCCGTTGTAAACAATGTTTACACATTGATTTACTATTGTTCCAAGTGTATCTTGTTACCTCGTTTTGCTGCTTGGAGTGTGTCTGGTGATTGAGACATAGTATTCCCTGTTGGAATCCAGATTCATATCTAGGACCAGAGTCAACGTGAAGTACAAGGCGGATGGTCGAACTACGGGACCTGGCACAACTGAGTTGAGCACAAAGGTGCTGTGAAGTATAGTGAAGACAAATGATGCCAGGCCAATGCATGAGAAGCGACTGCATGGTCGCAGAAGAACGTTGAGCTGAGGAGTAGTGAAGCTAACGATCTAATCATACTTTCTTTTACCTTTCAGTGGACTGGTGAAAGTGTTCCTAGGGCATACGGATCAGGTGCATTATCCAAGAGGGTTCTGAGCCCAAAAGACTTTCGGATTTTGTTCACTAACGTGATCTAAGATGTCAGGACCATTAAAGTACACGAATGACGGTTGTCCCAAAGAACTGGGATGGGAAGGATTGGCAGCAGTACAAATGGGTGATGGAGATAGTCTTCAAGAAGAAGAAACTCACGGATATCGTGAATGGGAAATCTCACGAAGATGATGCTCTTTATGTCGGAGGCTGAGGAAGAGTTTGATGATCATCAGTTGGCCCATCATGCAGGCTCATCGGGATTGTTCACTGCCAGCAGGAAATCTTCCCACCAGATTCGCGACAAAATCCACCGGAACCGACATGTGGAAGGGCGCTCCTGCGTAATCTATGAGAGCCGGGAGAGCCGAACTACTATGGCTCATAGAGCTGAGAGCATTAGACACGAGCTTGATATGCTCAAGCTGTCCTCGGGCGGAGACGTCAACAAGCACCTGAGTACGATGTTCAACTTGCGGACGGAGTTGCTGTCTCTCAACTATCAATTCGACGACACCGCGATGGTGGAGTTAATGTTGAACAGTCTACCGCATACGTATGAGTTTGAGAGTTTGAAGAGTGGTGTTCGGTACAATTGTGCTGACACATACATCACCCAAAGCGGACTCGAGAGCTTATTCGGGTTGCTGACTCTCGACAGAGAGTTTTTCAAGCTAAGAGTGGGAAACGCAGCCAGAAAAGCGGTAATGTTGAGAAGCAGAAGGCCGATGGCAATGGACAAAATCGTGAAAAACCTGAGAAGTTTAAAGACACAAAGAAATAGGTGAAAAAGTGCTTTGTTTGCGACAGTACTGAACACCTTATTTCGGATTGTCCGCAGAAGATGAAGAACCAAGACGGGGCCAGAGCTGCTGGAAGCGAGCAGAAGAAGAAGGCACGTGCAAATGTGACTCGTATGGGCCACAACGAGCCATTGGGCTCAGATACAGAAGA